TGCAGAGCCGCCGTGCTGCAAAGCGGCTGCCGTCGCCTGCAAGGGCTGCTTGGGGTGGCTGCTGTTGCGGCGGGTTTCCCCTCGCTCCCTCGCCTCAGCAGCCCCGTGCTGAGTGCAGGGTTTGGTGGGGGGTCCCCTGGCAAGAATTCCCTCTGCTGCTGTTATAACTATAGAGGCCGGGTCTTGGCTTCAGCTGGGGTTGCAATAACTAACCCCGAGGGGATTGGCCCACTGGAGTTTTGGGCAGCATTCCCAGGATACCTTGGTGCACACAGCTGGAAAAAATCCACATACGGATGGAAAAGATGCTGAGTGCAGGGTTTGGTGGGGGGTCCCCTGGCAAGAATTCCCTCTGCTGCTGTTATAACTATAGAGGCCGGGTCTTGGCTTCAGCTGGGGTTGCAATAACTAACCCCGAGGGGATTGGCCCACTGGAGTTTTGGGCAGCATTCCCAGGATACCTTGGTGCACACAGCTGGAAAAAATCCACATACGGATGGAAAAGATTAGAGGAACATTATAGTGTTGGGTATTGCATGACACCTAAAATGGTCATGTTGGGGTCCCTGGGCATGATCCTAGGTAACTCGGGGGAGTGGAAGATCACAAGAATCGATGAAGCACCCCAGCTCTAAGCCCAAGCACCCTAAAAGCACCCCCCTTCCGCCCCTTCATCCCCCCCCAGGCATAACTTTTCCCTGGCTCGCTAATAGCTGGGAACGGCAAGACAGACCTTGAAGTTGCCTAGTTACTATCAGTGGTATAGAAGAAGAATTCAGATGTCTCTGTAGAGGGGAGGAGGAGGCAGCATGTCCCAGCGTGGGAAACTTGCTACAGTCCACTATTTTCCTTCAAGTAAACAACCTGGGTATATAAGGAGGGAAAACTGCTTCTGTTGGTGTGCTTGATCTGAGGTGTCTAGTCTCCTGGCACCTATTTGAGCATTCAAATAAACTTTTTTTGCTTCTCCACACCGGTGTGTTTATTGGAGCGCGCACACCGGGCACCGAACCCAGCTGTTGCCCCCCCTCGGGCACTGTGTGCCGGCAACAGTCAGGCATGTGCCTGCCCACAGCTAAAAGCCCCCTACCTCCCTCCAGCCTAAAGAAAGGAGCCACAGGATCCAGGCACCAAAAGATTTTTTCAGGGGGGAACAAAACAGGGATGAGAGGGGAGTGAAGTTAAGGTCAAAATCAGGAAACCAGAGAGAGAGATCGGAGAAGCAGTTGCGGGCGACGGTGTGGAACCGGTCCCATGGATAAGATAGGAACAGTCCAGTGGGGTGGACTTTCGCCTGTTAAGACCTGGGGATGTCCAGTGTCTCCTGAGGTTATGGGGCAGGCGACAGGCAGGGCATGGTGTACACCTTTAGAATGCATTCTAGTGAACTGGAAAGTGTTTGGATCAGATCCCATGACTAAAAGTAAACTGAAAAGGTTCTGTACAGTAGACTGGCCTCAATATCAGCTAGAGGACCAGGAAAGGTGGCCACCGGAAGGATCAATCAATTATAACACGATCCTCCAATTACTCCTATTTTGTCAGCAAACGGGTAAATGGCATGAACATTTATATGCGCAGTTGTTTATGGCTTTAAGAAATAGAACAGATATTTTGCAACAGTGAAATTTAACTCCCTCGGGTGCAGTAGTAACTAATGTGAGCCCCCAGAGCTCTCCTACAGCTGTAATGGCAGATTCAGTGTCCCCTTCAGCTTCAGCACCCCCACTATAAGAAACAGGTGCCTCAGGTCCCAGAGGATGGTGCCTCAGGTCTCTGTGGGATTCTACCCACTGATTACTGAGACTGTGGTAGCCCGCCAAGGAGCTGAGGGGCGCCAGGCCACTACTATGCAAGTTTACACCCATGTGCCTTTTAACCCAGTGGACCTAGCAGCCTTTAAAGTACAAGCTGGAGAATTCTCCACGAACCCAAGCCGGTTTATCTCAGTGTTCGAGGGGTGTCTGGCTAGCCACAAGCCTGACTGGGATGACTGTAATATCCTCTCATGAGGACCCTGTTGTCTGAGGTGGGGCGGAATCAGGTTATAGCCAAAGCAAGGGAGGAGGCACAGCGGAGACATGAAAGGGATCCACAAAACCTCCCTGAGCCTGCAGACATGGTTTCCCTAGCAGATCCTAGGTGGAATCCTAATGACCTCTTGCAGTACACCTGTCTCACCTCATACAAGGAGTTGCTTTTACATCGTCTCCAGCACTCGGCTGTCCGACATAACAACTGGGCAAAACCATATGAGTTAATACAGGAACCAAAGGAAAGTCCAATTGCCTTTCTGCAGCGGATTCGGGATGCCATCCAGCAAAATACTAACACAAATCCCGATGACCAGGCAACTGAGGCAATTATAAAGGGGATCTTTACCAGCCGTGTAGCCCCTGATATTAAAAGGAAATTACAGAAAAAGGAGGACTTAATAGGCATGTCCATGGCACAGATTCTGGAAACTGCAAATAGGGCTTATTCCCTGAGGGTATGCCTACACTACCCCCCCCAGTTCGAAC